TATATATATATATATATATATATATATATATATATATATATATAGCACAGATAAAATATATGTGTGAGTGTGTGTGTGTATAAAGTATCCCAGTGGGTAAAAAATATTAATTTAAATGAGATTGTGTAAAATATTATATATTGGAAAATAATTATAAATTATCTTACACAAATCTCCCATTTAAATGACTATTTTCTACAGGATGTAATATATATACACATACATACATAATATTTGTGCTTATACATTAGGCCAGCACTGGAGCCAAATCTGGAGCTGAACCACTGGAATAACAGATTTGTATACAGGTATACACATGTTAAAATAAATTAACTATAATTTTATTTACATGTTCATATATGGCCATATATGAATACACATACACACCCCTGGGGTTTGACTAGTTTCAGGCTTGACTGCATGTGCGTATTTGTGATTTCAATGGGCAAAAAAATGTGTAGAAATGGCCACTGCTTGCAACATTTGGCAGTATATATGTTGCATATGTATCATATATTGTATATTATCATTCATTCATTTTCCTTCAACTTCCCTTATTAGTCCCCTTTATTCATCAGGGGTCACCACAGCAGATACCCTTGAAGCTGCAACCCAGCATTGTAAAACGCCCATACATACACTCTCATCACACACATACCAATTTAGTTCATAAAATTCACCTGTACCGCATGTCTTTGGACTGTGGGGGAAACTGGAGTACCTGGAGGAAACCCATGTGAACACAGGGAGAACATGCAAACTCCACATAGAAATGCCAACTGACCCAGCCGGGACTCGAACCAGCAACCGTATTGCTGTAAGGCGACAGTGCTAATCACTGAGCCATAGTGTCGCCTGTTTTGTATGAAATCTGTATATGAAATCCAAATTTATGAACTTGATTGTCATTTATATAATTTGCATATGTTTTCATAGATCAGACTTCTTTATGACTACAAATTTTTAGGTTTTAGATTTGATTTGGGCGGCGCGGCGGTGCAGTGGGTAAAGCTGTCACCTCACAGCAAGAAGGTCACTGGTTTGAGCCTTGGCAGGGTCAGTTGGCATTTTTGTGTGGAGTTTGTACACTATTCTCTCCGTATTGGCATGGTTTTCCTCCGGGTGCTCCGGTAAACTAAGTTGTCTGTAGTGAATGAGTGTGAATGAGAGAGTATGTATGCATGTACTCGAATCAGCGACATTCTTGGTGTGAAGCAGCAGCGCTAACCACTGAGTCAATGTGCCACCCACGTTTCTTGTTGTTGTTTCTTTTAACTATATTCAGCATACTGTAATGATGAAAAAAAAATTCTCATAATCCTTCTGTAAAAACATTTACCCTAATATATCAAGTAAAAAAAAAAAAACATTCTTTCAATGCACATGGCAGGCCATCATATTCTTCCAAATCAGTACAATACATCCAGTATATGCATCCTAAAATGATAAGAGAAATAAAACAACAGCTTACTTTTGTGTGT